TTGACTTAATTTATACTGCTTGGTGATAATTTATTCAGTGAGAATAGTGGAATCATTGCCCCATGACCACTTGCAGAATAGCATCGTTTTACTAACCTGCTAGTATGCTCCCCAAGAGAATAGTAAGATAAAGTGTGCAAGGGATTCTGGTAGTAAAAGACACTAAATTATCGAAATGGCTCATTTTTAAACTTCATTAACTTTTGCACATCATTATCTTTTAGTGGATATAAAGGCACAGAAGAATCTGCGTCAACGCCAACAGATTATTGATACAACCCTGCTAAAGTGCTATTTACAAGTAAGATTCAGTCATCATTTTCAAAAGAACGAGAGAATAAAAAGCGTGGCCATAATAAGGGAAAATAACCAATAATATTTATGAAAGTTCAAGCAGCTTGGCAGATGCCAGCAATCCTTGAAGTCTGCAATGTCATTGGCACGATGTTGCGATGTTGTTCATCGACTGTGACATTTGAAGAAAATTTAATCATTCTTGATTCCTTTTGAAATATTGTCCTTATATTCTCATAGGAAGGGATGCACACCACCTATTGACCTGTACCACACTACACTACACTACACTATATGCTTTTGGGGGAGGGGAGGGGGGGTCCAAGCAGTACATTACATGACAGTATACAGAAAAAGCATTCTCTGTGCCATATTCTCCTAGATATCTTGGCTGTTTGTCTACCATTGGGGCGTTGGACTTGTCTGTATGTTGGGAGTTTTGTGTGCTATGACTAGTAAAAACAAAGGCAAAATACCTCTTACTGTGCGTCTTCACCTCAATATTAATGGTTACTAGCAAATTGTTAGGGTTACCTCGAAAATTGTAGAGGTACTAGCATCCTATCCACTCAAAGTATAGGTACTTTAGTCCCTTCATGGTATAAACTTCTTGCAGCATACTACTAGTTCATGGTTTTATGGATATAGAGCACACAAATACTAACTCTTCGAGTCCTATTGGATGTGAGTGATAGACTTGTTGCAGCATACTACTAATGCATAGGTATATGGATATAGAGCACACAAATACTAACTCTTCGAGTCCTATTG